CTCCTAGCATCAAGGGNCCTCTCCCGCCATGCTGGCCTCACTTCCTGGAAATTTGTAAATACCAGACCATAGAGCTTGACTAATGACTATTGGACGTGGTGCCCATTGTGTGTGCTTATAGACCTGGCTCATGTGAGAAAGACCCAAACGTCTGGTCTTCATGCCAATTTGTCTTCGGATCTGAAAATCACCAGTAAAAGGAAGTAAAGAGGATGAACTTGATCCAGGATGGAGGTGGCAAGGCAGGACTGACAAAGGAGAGAGCTGAAAGTCACCAGATTAAGGGCAGACTTAGGCATCTGGCGAAGAATCACAAGTTTTCTTCTCTCCAGATTGAGGCAGGAGTGGAGAAACCACTGGTCTTCGAGTTGAAAGACCCAGATTTGAGTTCCAGCGCAGCCCTGGACCTCCCTGAGCTGACTTCTCCACATAAATACTTATGAGTAGGTGCTCCACTGACCTCAGGGTTGTGAAGAGGTAAGATGATATTTGTGAAAATGCTTTCACGTGCCACACAGGTGACGAGGTCTATCATGAGAAATTGCTGCGATGGAGTGCATATTATACATGTTTTTACATGCAAACTAAGCAAAAGAGGAATCTTTTGGCTCAGCTAATGGGGTATAGTAGGCATCAGAGCTAATCACAAATCTCCCATTTCTCTTCCTTCCTGGCACATGGTAGGATTGAATTTCTCTGCCCTCTTTAGAATTAGGCGTGACCATGTGACCTGTCTGCCTCTTCTGGGCAGAAGCTTTAGGAGCAAGAGTGCAATTTTCCATATTTCTCTTCCTGCCTTGCTGATTGTGGAGGCATGTGTGAGATGAAGTTTCCATCATCCTGGGCCCTTAGTGACTACACTAAGCAAAGTACCCACCTCAGCCCCCAACCTCTACTGGGCACGTAGCACTGGCAAAGAAACTTTTGTTGTGTTAAAAGCCACTGCAACCTTGGGATTGTTTGTTACTGTGGCATAACCTCATGTTGACTGTTTATTTTTATGTTCTGTATTCTTGATGTTCTGGCATTTGGGGCCTTGATCCTGGAGAGACTGCTCCTCCCAGGGCTAGCTGGTTCCTAGAGAGAGCAAACATCTCTCCTGCAGCATGCCTTTGATGTACAAACCAACCTAGAGCCCACACCCTCAAGCATCTCTTTTATCAAACTCTCACACATCAAGCCAGCATCCCCCTGCCCTAAATTAGCACAGGGCCAGGCACCAGGCAACTAGGGACCATCCCTCTAGACCAGAACCCACCAAGTTCTTCACACTATCCAATCCTAAGCTAACGCAACATACATACCCTGCCTC